GCCTGAAGTATGGGGGGGGGGTAGATTTAGCGCTTAGGATTTCGGATCTAGGGTTTAGAGTAGAAACTTGGTCCCTTAACATGTGCCCTTATTTGGGAAACCCATATACACCCCCCCGATGCCCTTAAGCAAAACCCAAGGTTGTTTGCTGGTTTGGTAGGGAATGAGGGAATGAAGGAATGAGAGAATGAGGGAAATAGGGTTTAGGGTAGCCTTGTATAAACCTCTAAGGGAATCTAGAGGTTACCTCATTCCCTCATTTCCTGAAAAGAACACTAGACCCTAAACCTTAAACTCTAAACCGGTTGGTTCGTGAGCCAGGGTTGAAGAGGTTTGAGGGTTAAGGTTTTAAAGTTTAAGGGTCCAGAGTTTGGGGTTTAAGGTTTGAGGCTTTAGGGTTTTTGCGGTTTAAGGTTTCAGAGTTTGTTGTTTAAGGGTTGAGGGTTTAGGTTTTTAAGGTTTAATGGTTCAGAGTTTGGGGTTAAGACGTGAGGATTTAGGTGTTAAGTTTTAAGGGTTCAGAGTTTGGGGTTTCAGGTTCTAGGCTTTGGGGTCAAGGCTTTGGTGGATCATTTTCAGGAGGCGCGTGGATTAGAGGTATGGTTAGATCTTCGGCCTCTCGTCCCAGTTATAGCAAGTCCCGTTTAGGGTTTAGGGTTTAGGGTTTCGGGTTTAGGGTTCAGGGTTTAGGGTTTAGGGTTTCGGGTTTATGGTTTAGGGTTAGGGTTTAGGGTTTACTTGGGGGCCTTGAGCTTGCTGTGGTGCCATTTTGCCCCGTTTCGGGTTCTGAGTTCTATCTGAAGCTAACGAACGTCACCTGAATCATCATTCCTGGGATACACAAACTCTAAAACCCTAAAACCCTGAACCCTAAAACCCTAAAACCCTAAAACCCTAGAACCCTAAACCCTGAAACCCTAAACCCTATATCCACGCTCTCTCCCAGCCTGACCAAACTCTGCTGCGACAGCGGGCCTGGAGGCATCAAGCCCTCGACCTCCGTGGCACCGCGTGGGGCATAGGGTTTCGGGTTTAGGGTTTTAGGATTTTAGGGTTTAGGGCTTAGGGTCTAGGGTTTTAGGATTTTGGGGTTTTAGGGTTTTAGGGTTTTAGGCTTTTAGGGTCTTGGGGTTTAGAGTTTAGGGTTTAGGGTTAGGGTTTTAGGGTTTTAGAGTTTAGGGTTTAGGGTTCTGGGTTTTGGGTTTGGAGCCCAAGGCCCAATTCATCCGGGGCATACCCTGCGGTCCGCAGGTCAAAGTAGGCTTGTCAAAGTAGACTTCAAGAACATGCCGCGCACGTTGTAGGGTTCAGGGTTTAGGGTTTAGGGCTTTGGCGCAGGGTTTAGGGTTTAGGGTTTAGGGTTTAGGGTTTAGGGTTTAGGGTTTAGGGTTTAGGGTTTAGGGTTTAGGACTTCGGGTTTTAGGGCTTAGATGTAGAGTTTAGGGCAAGCGCCCAAAGCACTTCGCCGGTCTGCGTTGCTGGCTCTCCATCGCGACGCGAGCTCCCCAAGGGCATCTGCTTTGCCTTCTTTGCCGTCTGTTGTCAACATCCTGACACAAAAAAAGCAGGGTTTCAGTGCCTTCAAGGTCCACCCTAAAACCATAAACCCTAAACCCTGAACCGTAAACCCTAAACCCTCAACCCGGAACCCTAAACCCTAAACCCCCTGGGATGAAGATTCTACCCGAAGCCGAAACCCTCCGAACCGGAGCCCCTCCTGGAGGGTAACGATACATTATACCCCTACTAAGGGTACTTGTAGCCCTACTCATGACCCTGTTTAGGCTACCATATTTGAGGGTACTTGTAGCCCTACTTATGACCCTCTGTAGGCTACCCTATTTTAGGGTACTCACAGCCAAATTACAATCCTATGTAGGCTGCTACCCTACTTTAAGGTGCTTCTAACCCGAATTACAAACCCCATTGAACCGTTATAAGTACGGGCTTTTATTTAAGGGTACCTCTAGCCCTACTTATCACCCCACTTCTAACCCGATTCAGGCTACCAAAAGCCCTAAACCCTAAACCCTCAACCCTGAACCCTAAACCCTGAACCCTGAACCCTACACCCTAAACCCTGTATAAGGTACTTCTTGCCCTGCTCATGGCCCTCTGGCCTCTTTGAGGAGGGCCACATCGCCAGAGCTAAAACCGGTGCCAGAGAAGAATGGCAAATGCCATCCTGCCACACACATCATGGGGCTTTATGGGGCAGGGTTTAGGGTTTGGGGTTGTAGGATTTAGGGTCTAGACTTCGCGGTTTAGGGTTTGAGGCTTAGGATTTTAGGATTTAGGGCTTTGGGGGACGAAGGCCCTAAATCCTCTCTTTCTAGGGCTCCAAACCCCAAAGGTTAAAGGTTCATGTTGCATGGCGCAGCCCTACACCCCCTAAACTCCGCAAAGCGTAGCAGCTTCGGTGGAAGTAGGATGGGTAGAAGGTCGGGTAGCTCATCCTAACCCTAAGCTTTACCCGAAACCCGAAAAGGGGATGCGACTCTGTGATTCTTCGGGCTCCTGAAGCCCCTAAATCCTTGTTCCCTTCTTGGAAGCCGTTACTTAGTATCCCCAAGAAACCCCGTAAGAACCCCCACAACCCAACTGACTAACGCTACTTACAAAGTCAAAGAGCTTGCAATTCTCCCCGAACCCCAGAAGAGCACTTTTGGGTTTCGTGCTGGGGGCTTGGGATTTAGCCCCAAGCCCTAAACCCTAAACCCTCAACCCCAAACCTTATGGGGGCCTCGCCTGGCATGAACTGTCGCGACAAGAGGCTGTACACGGTCATCCCATCTTCCGAGCCACTTGCGGCGTCGTGAGGAGCGGCCGTCCGCAATTCCAAGTTTCGGGCTTTGGGGTTTGTGGGGGGAGGGTCACTGAGAGGGGGGGGGGGGCTTGAGCTTTACTTCAGGGCTCCAAAAACCCTGAACCCCAAACCCTAAACCCTAGACCTGTTGGGAAAAGCAAGGGTTAGAACTGCTGAACCACCACGCCATGAACCATCGACTGGCGCTGTGAAGTTTGGGGATGGTTTTGCTCAACACACGAATCCTGGCCTCTAAACCAGTGTTTGAGCTTTAGGGTTTAGGGTTCAGGGTTTAGGGCTTAGGGTTTAGGGTTTCGGGTTTAGGGTTTAGGGTTTAGGGTCTAGGGTCTAGGGTCTAGGGTTTAGGGTTTAGGGTTTCGGGTTTCGGGTTTCGGGTTTCGGGTTTAGGGTTTAGGGTTTAGGGTTTAGGGTTTAGGGTTTAGGGTTTAGGGTTTAGGGTTTAGGGTTTCGGGTTTAGGGTTTAGGGTTTAGGGTTTAGGGTTTAGGGGTGGGGTTTAGAAGGGGCCCCTATACCCAAACCACCCCCCAAGCCCCTCCAACAGCGCCAGGGCGGGGCAGCACCAATCGGAAGGCTTCTTCGATCTGCCCCACCTGGGCCCGAAATCTGGCCCGTTGAGGGAGATGCCGGGGATTTTTCTACGGGGTCGGGTTCAAGGCTTTGGCGTTTTGGGGGTTTGGGTTTTGGAGGTTTAGGGGTTTAGGGATGGCGTTTGAATCTTGAATCCCCCCAAATTCTGAGCTTACAATCCCGATCCACCAACCGGAAAGGATGCGTTCCTTTTGCTGGCTCAGAGTTTGTGGTCTTTTGGTGGCTTTCTAAGCATCGGTGGCCTCAGAGTTTCACCTTGACTCAGATCTGAAGCAGATGGGCGTAGCTGAAAACCCAGCGTCTCCATGGACTTAGGGTTTAGGGTTTCGGGTTTAGGGTTAAGGGGGTAGGGTCTAGGGTTTAAGGTTTAGGGTTTAGGGGTTTAGGGTTTAGGGTTTAGGGTTTAGGGTTTGGGGTTTGGGGTTTGGGGTTTGGGGTTTGGGGTTTGGGGTTTGGGGTTTGGGGCTTAGGGTGCGTTCATGGGCAGCTCTAAGTAGGGCTATACGAACCCAAAATACGGTCACGAGGTATAGCTACCATGATTACCTACTTACAACTTCCCATGAACCCTTACCCCGTGAGTCGGATGGCGCCTCGAAATGGAGCTTGACAAGGATGGAGAAGGTGATGTTGGAGGGCTGCACCCTCGACTGGAGCATGTCCTGGGCGTCGCTGCGTAGCCCAGGGAAGCTTCGGGTTTAGGATTTTTAAGGTTTAGGAGATATTATATATACATATACATAAACATACATATATATATATATGTGCAGTTCATTTGTAGAGACGATAAGGGGAGAATCTAAACTCCTAAACCCCTAAACCGCAGGAAGCCTAAGCCGAGACCCCCCGAAGGGGTCCAGACGCTCTGAGGCCCCCAGAAATGGCAAGCTGGGGCAGGCAAACCCCATAAGCCCTGCCAAAAAAACCCTACAAACCCCAAAACGCCAAGACGTCAGACAAACTGAAAACGCACCACTAATCCTGAAGCAAAAACCTAAAAAACCCAAACCCCCCCCCCCCAAAAAAATAAAAAATAAATAAATAATATATATATATATATAAACTAGAAGGGCACTGCGGCTTCAGGCTTCGGGCCGAGCGTCGTGGAAGACCCTCATGCCCTCGCTGAACCTTGGGGTCTCACACGGGGTGCTTCCTCGTAGGGATTGAGGCGGGGGGGGGGGGGGGAAAGTCGGGTTGCCATAAGATCACCCTAAACCCTAAACCTTAAACCCTACACCCTTTCGGGTGTTCGTCAGGAGGGTGTAAGGTTGTTGGCTCGGAAATTTAGAGGTCTACAGGGATCAGGTGTGCAGGGCTTTGCAGTTCCAGGGCTTTGGTATCTTAAGTTCCAGCATCAGAATACCCTCAACCCGAATTGACCCCTCCTCAGAGAAAGCCTCTGTCGCTCAGGGTTTTGGAGTTCTGCGGCTGTGGGGTGGCTTTTAGCTTTCGAGGTTGCCCAACAAAGCCCTAAAGCACAGGAACACTGAAGCAGCAAGCCTACATCCTAAACAAGCCCAGACCTTTAAGGGATTCTTACCTACAAAATCAAGTAAGTACCTTTTTGTAGGTTCTGATTCTCTAACCCTTGAGGAAGGGGAAGCCAAGAAACTTCTGGGACTTCGCGCAGCCGTCGATAAGGCTGTTGTACCTCACTTGGCCATGGACTTTGAGGGCTATAGGGAATGGGACTAGGGGGACCCGGGGACCCTTGGGGATATAGACCATCTGTTTAAGAGAGCCAGAAGAGGGTTAAGAAGGGGTACCCTTTGAAGGGTCCCTCTTATCCTACCCCGGGTGCTAGTTGTTCACAATACCTGCCCCCGAAGATAACCAGAAGATACCTTCCCGGTATATTCAGGATTCCCCTTACAAAAAGAGCTCTTATCCCGTAGCCCATCCCCTTTAGAGGACCTTTAAAACAACCCCCCCCCTCCCCCCTTACATGGATTTAGTGCGCAGGGATCTGCTGAAGGCGGGCTGCATGATCTCGTCGCACTTCAGGTTCCGAGCCTTCAGCTCCTTCCACAGGGCCAGCGCCTTGTGCACCTGACCGATCTGGCTGTAGCCCTTGATGAGGGTGCTGAAGGTGATGAGATCGGGCTCGATGCCCATCTGCATCATGTCCTGCAGGAAGTACGCCGCCGTCTGCAGGTCGCTGCAACGCACGCACACATCCATGAGGGAGTTGAAAGTGACGAGGTTGCAGGGCACCTGCTCCACCCGCATCTCGTGGTACAGGTTCATGGCACCTTGCAAGTCGCGCATCTTCGCGAGGCCTTTGATCAGCGTCGCGTAGAGAACCGTGTTCTTGTGCATTCCCTGCATGCGCATCTCCTGAAAGATGGCCATGGCCTTGTCCATGCTGTTGCACTTCACGCAGGCATCCAAGACGCAGCCGCATGTAACCGGATTGATGCCCAGGCATCGGCTGCGCATCTGCTGCCAAACCTTGATGACCGAGTCGGTGTCCCTGGCTCGCCCGTACGCCTTCACGACCGTGCCAAAGGTGACGGCAGAGGGTGCAACCCCATAGTCGCTCATCTTGTTCAGCGTCTGCTGCAGCTTCATCATGTCACCAATCTGGCCAAGGACGTTCAGTAGGGAGTTGAAGACGATCTCATCAACATCCTCCTTCTGCTGGTCGATGAAAGCCTCCACTAGGCCTTCGTAGCCCAGCAACCATACAGTTCATTAAGGGTACCCCTTGTTTTGCTTGCTTACTTTATGAGGGAGCCCAGAACCAAAAGGCGGGTAAAGGATATACCTCTGGGCTACCAAGAGACTGATCCCTCGGCGGACGGAGCGCTTGTCCGTAGAGGCCTCGAGGCTCTTCGTCAGGATGGAGACAAAGTACTTGTCCGCCTGCCCGGGGCTTCAGGAAAGCCGGGAGCTTTAGGGTTTTAGGTGTTTAGGTGTTGGGGTTTAGGGTTTTAGGGTTTAGGGCCTATAGGGTTTTTCGGGTTAGGGTTTAGGGTTTAGGGTTTTAGGGCTTAGGACCTATAGGGTTTTAGGGTTTAGGGTTTGGGGCTTTGGGTTTCAGGTTTTGGGGCTTCTGGTGTTTCATCACCCTGCAGCTCTAGCTGCACCATGAAGGCCCGAACAAGCGCCTAAGGTATCAAGGTCGAGGGTGTAGGGTTCGAAGGTTGTGGGCGTTTGCCTGAAATTGGAAGGGTTTGGAGTTTAGGGTTTAGAGTTTGGGGCTTTGGGTTTCGGATTTCGGGCTTGATTCTTTCTCTGAAGAATACAAGTTGAGGCAAAGAGCTGCATCAGAGGCAAGGCCCGGGAGCGGTTTAGGGTTTGCTTGAAGAGTTTTGCGGGTTTAGGGTTTCTAGGGCTTTAGGGTTTTAGGGTTTTAGGGTTTTGGGGCCTTTAGGGTTTTGGGTTGTAGGATTAAGGTTTTCGGGTTCAGGGTTTAGGGTATGAGATTGGAGTGTGCATGTTGGGTAGTTCATGTTGCAGCTATAGACCAGCTGTGTTGAAAACATGGGTGCCTTTGTGGAGGGTTCCTATAGTAAGGACTATAGCATTTTGGGGTGAGTTCGGGGCACCGCTGTTTCACCCCTCAACCCCCCCATCTAAACCCTCGAACCCTCAACCGCAAACAGCAAGAACTTCTCCGTGCCACACCTTGCGGCCACATCTCAGGAGTAGTTCCAGAACCTTTCTTTCTAGTAGCCAGGGTTTAGCGTCATAAGGTTCTCCTTAACCCTGACCCTAAACCCTAAACCCCAAACCCGAAACCCTAAACCCTAAACCACACACCGTTCCTCTCCTCGGGGCCAGGGGCTAAAGGGCTTGGAGGGGTTTGAAGTTTAAGGTTTAGGGATAAGTTTAGGGTTAAAGGCGCTGAACTCGGGCTTAGAGGGCTTCAAGGAGGATTCACGGTTGAAGGCCTAGGGTTTTAACCATACACCCTACTAACCCTAAACCCCAAACCTCTTCACACACCCGGCAAACTGAGAGTTCAGGGTCTAGGAAGCTGAAGCCGAAAAGGGCCCTGACCTAGACCTAGACCCCAAACCCCAAAAACTCTGAGACCCAACCATTGGGTTGAGGCTTTAGGGATTAGGGTTTAGGGTTTGGGGCTCAGGGTTTATATAGAGTCCTTCATTCCAATCGCTGCTTTGGGGCGTCCCAGGCATCCGTCCAGGAGCGCGTCCGCACGGTGCCATCCAGCATCCTCAGCGGAGCTGCGAACTTTGGGATGCGGGGCGTTTTGAGTCGTGGGGCTTACGGTTTTTCGGACTGAGAGAGAGAGAGAGAGAGAAAAAAAAAAATGAGAAAGAACGAAAGACAGAAAAATAGAATGAAAGAGATACGTAGATGACAGAACTGCGGCTGCGAACATCGTAAGAGCGTCACCCATCTTCCAATCAACACCAGAACAAGCCCAAAGCCCTCACACTCAAAAACCGCATATGCTGGCTCCCCCCACTCAGAACGGGCGGACACTGCGAGAATGTACGCTGCTACCCTTGACTAGCAGGACACACCGGCCCCAATCGCCCGAAACCCTAAACCCTAGGCCTTAAACCCTAAACCCGTCACCCTAAACCTGCAGACCAGGGACATGTTGAAAATCTGGTCGGTAGGCGCGGGCGCTCCTCACACGGCCCCCAAAGTACAGCCCAACACCCCTGAACTTCTACGGAAGATTCCTTGACTCAGAATAGGAGCCTACCCTCTCATGATTCGAGAGGTCTTCCTTCCTTGCCCCTACACCCTAAACTTTTAAAAAAACCCAGCAACATTGATTAGTTAAGGGCCATAAACCGTAATGCCTAGTCACGGGGGTTTGGAGTCTCTGGGAAGGGCGCGGTGGAGCTAGCACCTGGGGTCATTGAAGCCTAAAGGGTCTCAACCTCCCAAAGCCATCTCAAGGAGTGGGGTCTACGGGGTTGTGGCTAAGGGGAAAGGGCAAAGGGCTTCATTTTCCGGGTCCGCTTGGCGTTGCTCTTTGCCTGCGCCCATGTCGGGGGGGGGAGGGGGAGGGGGGGAGGGGGGGGGGCGGGGGGGAGGGGGGGGGGAGGGGGGGAGGGGGGGGGGAGGGGGGGGGGGGGAGGGGGGGAGGGGAGGGGGGGGGAGGGGGGGGGGGGAGGGGGGAGGGGGGGGGAGGGGGGGTGCTTCAGGATTTCAGAGTGTTTTGCCTCAGGTGCCGGAGGCACAAATAGAATGGGTCTCTTCTTTTTTCTCAGTTTATAATACCTAGCTTGTACATAGCTTCATAGGCTTTGAAAGAAGGTGACAAAGCTCGTAGCCATTGTGTGAAGGTCATGCATGATGCCACCCTGGTGACACGAAGACAAAGCAAGGAAACTTACTTGCGATAACGGGTAGGAGTCACGAAGACAAGCAAGGAAACTTACTTGGGATTACCCCTATAAGGCCCTTTAGGGGTATTATAAGTAGGGTGATAAGTACAGTTCTGAGTAGGGTTATAAGTACAGCTATAAGTACAGCTACAAGTAGGGTTATAAGTACAGTTATGAGTAGTTACTAAGTCCCAAGAACCTCCAAGTACCTGTCCAGCTTCTACAGGGACCTGCAAGGTTAAGCTTTGGGATGATGCCTCTCTCAACCCCTAAACCCTAAACCCGAAACCGCAGAAAAATCCTTGTGTTCTTGAAAAGATACAATTTTAAAAAGTATTATACATATATATATATACTTATTTATTAATTTATCTACTCATTTGATTTATGGATTTGTGTTTTTTATTTAAAAAATAACAATGACAATGAAAATGAAAAATGAAAGCAAACATCATAGCCCTCGCTCCTGGTTGACACATGCCTTCAAGCAGCTTGACCTCAGTGTCAATACTACTGTTTGCTTAAGAACCCCCCAAAAACAATCACAATCCCTATATTACCCTGATATTATAAGAAGAATTTTTTTTTTGGGGGGGGGTTCTTAAGCAATTCGTAGAATACTGGGGTAGACTTTTTGGGGGTGAGGGGTGGGGGAGGAGGGGGAGAGGATTCGTGAGATTCCGATGCAAGTTAGACTTCTGTGGATTCCATCGGCACACCCTAAACACGAAACCCTAAACCCTAAACCCGAAACCCTAAACCCTAAACCCTACACCCCAGCTCAAGAAAGGGAGCCAGCGGCCGACAGAAGCTTCAGGGGTTTGGGGCCTTCATGGGACACTCCAATCTTTCACCTGCCAGGCCAAAAGTAACCCGAAACCCTAAACCCTAAACCCTCTCAACCCCAAAAAGCCCTGAACCTCACGGCTCCCCCCTTGAAAAACAGCAAGTTTCGGCGTAGGGTTCTTGAAGCATCAAGTCCCAAGCACTGGTCCCGAAACCTCCGACATCCCTGCGAATCCGCTGAGGCTCAGGCTTCGAGTTTGAGGGGAACACCCACCAACGGTTTGAGGGATGTGGGATTTTGTGGCTTCAGGGCTTAGGGTTTAAGGTCTTTAGGGTCTTGGGGTCTTGAGGGTCTTGAGGGCCTTTAGGGTCTTTAGGGTCTTTCGGGTCGTTAGGGTCTGGGAGGTCAGAGGGTTTACACACTCCTTCCCCCCCACCGAGCCCTGTGCTGCTGAACCGTGGAGCTGCGACTGCAGCAAGCAGCGGAGGACTGCCTCCTGGGTCTGTGAGCTTGAGTGAATGAACGAAGGAAGCAATGAATTGAATAAGCACATGAGTCAACGAATATGTATGCACATCTCTTTAAGTATACGTGTATATATATATATATACGTATATGTACATATACTTGCAAGTATGTTTAGCTCTAGGTAGCACAAATAGCATTAAGAACAATCACGGGGCAAAGGACTTTAAGGACCTGGGGTTGAAAAGCTTCAGGAGCCAGCGTTCTAGGGCCTTTTTGGAGGTTTGGAGGCTAAGTGTCGGCGCTTCAACTGAGGCAGGCTTCGCGCGCCTCCCAGCCCCCTCCCCTTAGTACCTCACCCCGGCACTCCCTACTTAAATCCGGGGGATCCAAGAGGATGCAGAAACCTGAACATTTGGCCTCCGTGAGCGGCTTCCCTAGACCCTACCCAAAGAGCCCATTTCCCTGACTTTAACAGACTTGTGGATTGTAACAACAGAAATAGGTGAGCAAGACATTGCTGTGCCCCAAGCCGGCCGCGCGAAGCGTGTGTTCCCAAAAGCACCAATTACAAAAGGACTCATCGGCTTGACCCGCCCGAAACCCTTGGAGAGCCACTGACTCTGCACCCCTAAGCCCTAACCCTTAAACCCTAAACCCTGAACCCTAAACCCTAAACCCTCTCATGGTCGACAGCCCCTCCGAAAATCTCCGGAAACACCAGACTTGAACTCAAGGCACGGATGGGGGCTTTACAGCGGCAAGTTCCGTCGCTTTCCTAGCGCCAAAACAAAGCTTTCGCGACTTTGGGTTTGTGAGGGCTTTGGGGTGTCAGGTAACCCTAAACCCTAAACGCTAAAACCCCAAAGGCTATAACTCCAAGACCGAACCAGCCACCCACCGGACCGCCGCCAAGTGGCCAGGGAGCTTGGAAGCAGCTGCTCCCACCCACTCGGCTCGTGAAGGGCCTGGGGTGAAGGTTGGCTCCTAGATAGGGGTTGCAGGGTTTCAGGGTTTAGAATTGAGTTTTTTCGAGCTTTTTGGGATGTTTAGGGTTTTTGGGTGGTTTGGGCTGTTTTGTTTTTTTTGGTTTAGGGTTTGGGGTTTAGGGTACTCAGACTTATGTTTATGGTTTGTATGTATTTGTATGGTTATATACAGCACTTCCTTCAGAACCCGAGAAGCACTGCATACATCTAAATATACATATACATGCATATATATATATATATATTGCTTGTGTTTTCCACTCATTACATGAATATGTGTATATAGATATAGATGTAGATATAGATATAGGTATAGATATAGATGTAGGTATAGATATAGATATAGATATAGATATAGATATAGATATAGATAAAGATATGGATATGGATATAGATATAGATATAGATATAGACATAGATATAGATATAGATATAGATATAAATATAGATATAGACATAGATATACATACATACATACATACATACATACATACATACATACATACATACATACATACATACATACATACACAAATATATGTGTGTGTATACTTATTTTGTTGCATGTGTGTGTTATAGTTTGTATTAGCAGGAAATTCTCTGACTTAAGGTTCAAAGTTCATTGTTGGATACCCTAAATGTAGTAGAAGAGGTCACATGTCTTTCGGAGGGGCCCAGGTGAGGAGACAACTGGTTATACCACCGTGGGGTTCAGTGCTTCGGGAATTCCAAGATTAAGACGTGTGCATTTTGGCTTGGCTCGCATGAAACAGGAGCAGCACCCTTAAGCCAGGAGCCCTAAACTGGCTGGTTTTTAGTAGGGAATGAGGGAATGAAGTACCTTATATAATCCCTTAAACGGGCCTATATAGGATTCCCTCATTCCCTTCTAAGAACCAGGGAGTAAAGCGCGCCTCCAGGGCGAACACGAAAGCGTCCTCCACACGGTCCTGCAATGGGCACCGGGAGCGAGAAGGCCAGCACTTGGAGGTGGGACAGCGTAGGAAATAGGGTTTAGATTTAGGGCTTAGGGTTTTGGGTTTTGGGTTTAGGGTTTAGGGTTTAGGGCACCAGAAGGACTCCAGGTCCAGGGTGCGTGGCGTCGGCCGACTGGGGCTTTGAAAGGCGGAGATGCAGCTGAAGAGAATCAAGAGGTCAGAGCATCCGAGGTTCAGGACGTCACTGAGTCACGACAAGGATGGGCGCGCTTGAATCTGTGACAACGTCTGGGGTCCAAGGTTTACGGTTCACAGCAAACTGCAAAAAAGTTGGAACAGCCCTGTCCCCATACCCCGAAAGGTGTGGGGGGGGGGGAATCTCTGCCCTAACAAAGGGAATCTCGGCTCCAATCATCCTGAAACCATGTTCCAGCTTTCTGGAGTTTACTGTAGGGTTTCCGAAGCTGCCCCAAGAATGAACGCCAGCAAAAGGCCGCGCGCTCCTTCCGGATGTAGGCTTCCAAAACAGCATGGCGCGCGGCAGCCAGCAAAGCGGCTGGGGCCTCCATACCACGAGGGGGCTTTTTTGAAAACAGGTGTCCACGTGGAGGGGACTTCTTCAAATCTTTTCGAAAATCAGTGTCCTTGTAGACTTACAGAAACAAATCCGACCCGCAAGACCCGAGCTTTGCGCAAGGGGGGGGTGACACCCCAAAACCCCAAAGCCCCCTAGCTCCAGGGCTTCAGGGCATGTTTCAGGGGACTGCGGCTCTCGGGCTTCGTGTTCTGGGAGCTCAAGCTTCGGGGTTAAGAGGGCTTAGGGTTGCAGAACATCAATATTAGGCATGTGAGGCTCCAGGTTTTAGGTCTAGGGTTGAGAATCTTCTTCGGAAGAGAACGGGGCGTGATGTTGCGGGACCTTGGGGCTCTAGGGGCGTAAGGTTTAGGTGGGGCTAGTGGGGGCCTTTTGCCTTCGGCTTCGAGCAACCCAGGACCCCCAAGTGAGAAGCGGCCCCACTTAGAGGTTCATGGCTAGTTTCAAGTAAGGCAATAAGTATGGCAACTTGGGATGTTCCCCCTTATACTAACTAACAGTCCTTAATTGGGATTACAGAACCCCCTATGAAAAGTCCCTATCAAGGACTGTCATAGTACAACGTGGACCATCCCAAGCTATAAGTACTGGCAACATATAACCGTGTTTGTAGCTAACCCCTAAACCCTAAACCCTAAACTGTTAACCCTACTTGTAACTAACTGTGAATCTCCAAGTACAGCCTGAAACGGATCCACGCCTCCTGGCGCTCGTGGCGGAGCAGATCCTCAGCAGACAACCAGACAGTTCCGTGTTTGGAGAATTCGACACCCTAAACCCCAACCCTAAACCCTAAACCCTAAACCCTAAACCCTAAACCCTAAACCCTAAACCCTAAACCCTAAACCCTAACCCTAAACCCTAAACCCTAAACCCTAAACCCTGAACCCTGAACCCTGAACCCTGAACCCAAAACCTGAGAAGTTGGGCTTCGGGACAAGTGTCGGTGATGGAAATGCGGGGTTTGCGTCCCCCATCCCAGATCTGACATCTCGCAACACCCCTACAGGTAGGCGAGCCTTATTATACTAACTAGGGAATCATCAGACGTGTAACCACATTCAGGGCCCTTATACCCCTACTTCTAACTAGGGGCCGAGAGATCAACTCGAGGCTACACAAGAAGTTCCCGAAGCATCAGCTTCCTTCGTACTGTATCAGGAAAGTTCGGGTCCGAACTACATGCTTTCTTCTGTGTAACGCAGTTTGTTGCAGACCCTGAAAAAACAAACTTGAACCCTAAACCCTAAACCCTAAACCCTAAACCCTAAACCCTAAACCCTAAACCCTAAACCCTAAACCCTAAACCCTAAACCCTAAACCCTAAACCCTAAACCCTAAACCCTAAACCCTAAACCCAAGCCGAGGTCTGCACCGCTGCCCTCTCGACCTCACCCTCCTGCGCCAGGGCGCTGACACGCCGCAGCGCCTCGCGAGCTGGAGCTGGGGTTTAGGGTTTAGGGTTTAGGGTTTAGGGTTCAGGGTTTAGGGTTCAGGGTTTAGAGTTTAGGGTTTAGGGTTTAGGGTTCAGGCTTTAGGGTTTAGGGTTTAGGGTTCAGGGTTCAGGGTTCAGGGTTTCAGGGCTCTCTATGGAGCTGTCCCCCTACTGGACTTCCCTAAAGCCCATGATCCGTCGTACCGGAAGAGCTTCCCGCGAAAAGAGGTGCCACATCAAAGGGATCAAAGGGTTTAGGGTTCAGGGTTTAGGGTTCAGGGTTTGTTGGTGTCATTGGGCTGCTTGTCGACACTAAACGCCTGAACCCCTGAACCCCTAAGTCCCTAAACCCTCAATTTGGGCCTTAAGGTCAACCTCGACACCCTAAACCCTGAACCGCAAATACCCTAAACCCTAAACCCTTTAGGGTTTAGGGTTTAAGGGCAGGGTTTCCGCCGAGACACCTAGATGCCCAAAACCCGTACTCGAGTCGCGGGGTGTCCACACCAACAGGCATTAAGCCCTAAAACCCTGAACCCTGGTGAACTCTCAATCCGAATGGGCTCAGGGCTTGGGATTTTCTTGAATGCGGGTGGTACTCGAGCGGCACTGTCGGACTTTGAAAATTCAGTGAGAACCCAATACCCCTTAACTCTGGAACTTCGACTCTTTAGTCTTCATAAAGAGGCAAAATGATTCTCAACAATGACCCAGTTCTGAACTCAGCAAGTTCCTCAACTAAGGGGTATTGCAACAATTAAAAATGATCGTTCTTGTTCCTTGTTGGATTTAAGTATTCATAAAAAATGTACAATGATGTTCAACAATGACCCAGTGCTGAGTTCCTCAACTAAGGGGTATTGCATCGGCTCTCAGAGAATGTGACAAAGCCCTTCCTGCGGTGGCTGTGGCATGGCTGTGCTTTGGCAGCGAACTGTGGTGGCTGTGCTTTGGCAGCAAACTGCAGCCTTTTGCCTGCTCTCCCGGGTGAGGATGAAGGGTTCGGATTTGTATTTTAGGGCTTAGGGTCTCGAAGATATATTCTTGCCCGGTACCCATGTCCAGACATGGGGTCGCAGAAGAAACTATAAATCACCCGCACTTGGAGAACAGACATGGTTCAGTCTCCTCAAAGCAACCGGTGTGTCCAGCAAGCTTGATGAGTGAGACCACCGGCTTCTTCAAAAACAACCCTAAACCCTATGGCTTACACTCTAAATCCTAAAGCCTGAACCCTGAACCCTAAATCCTAAACCCTGAACCCAAAACCCGAAAAAAGATGTTTAGGGGCGAGAAGCCTTGGGCGTGCTGCAGCAGTTTACTTCTTGAGAGGGCTGCGCACGAAGCATACTTCTCCAGGGAGCCCAACGCGCCGCACATCAATTCAGGTCTTTTTTGGGTTTGGGGTTTAGGGTTTAGGGTTTAGGGTTTAGGGTTTAGGGTTTAGGGTTTAGGGTTTAGGGTTTAGGGTTTAGGGTTTAGGGTTAGGGTCTAGGGTTTCCGGGTTGAGGATTTAGGGTTCAGGGTTTCGAGCTTCGGGTTTAGGGAGGAATACACCTTAAATGCCGTGCCGCTAACTATACGAGCTGGGTACATGTTGGGCTCTCTGGGTCATGATGAGAGCAGCGCTGCCGTGTTCACCAACGTGCACCCCTAAAACCCTACCTAAAACGATTTGCACGCCTTTGGGGACGCAACTGAGTTATATTTCCAAAAGCAAGTCGTAGCAGCTGATATGCAGTACTTTCATGCTGATGTGGACATGTGGTGCCGTGTTGTGAAGGGTAGGCGTTGGATCGGGAGCCTAGCCTAAGAGCGCCTGTCAGAAAGACCATCTACCCCGTCCTCGGTTTGGGGTTTAGGGTTTAGGGCTTCGGGTTTAGGGTTTTGGATTTAGGGTGTAGGGTTTAGGGTTTAGAGTTTAGAGGCCAAACGAGCGACGCAATGCCGTGCTCCTTGCCCTACAGCAGCAATTCCAGTCCAACCAACTCCACTGTACCGAACCCTAAACCCGAAACCCGAAACCCGAAACCCTAACCCTAAACCCTATAAACCCCATACCCTAAACCCTAAACCCCAAACTCCACCCTCTGCTGAGGATGTCCAACACGACACGCTGCCTCACGCAGGCACAAGCTTGGCCTCTTAAGCCAAGGATTGAAACTTGAAACAGACTGTGGTATGTGGAGGGTCTTACGATGGGAAGGTGGCAACCCCCAAGCAGTTCACACATGGTTTGCTTCTACGGGCTTGCGGCTTTGCTCGCGATTCTTCGATCTGCTATACAACTGCAACTGCCTCGTCCTTCCCTGCCCTTCCGATGGCACCGTTTCCGGTATACCCAGCCCACTACGATGCACTAAAATGGCAGTGTCTGCATCATCCGGCTCGGCGGGCAACGGCTGCTTTTGGGTGTTAAAAGGTCACGCGGGGGCGGGGGGGAGTCGCAGGCACGTATCCACCTGAGCCGGGTGCTGACAGGAAGAGAAAAGCGAACGAAGGCTGCTGGACGAAGTCCTTCAGCAGCATCGGAGGCAGAGTGACTTCCTGAGGAGCAGGGCCCTCCCATACGAAGCGGACGCTTCCGACAACAAGAGGCGGAGAGGCGAGGCTCTGAATGCTGCAAACAAGTTCTAACAACTTGCCCAGAAAGCCAGATACTCCCTGATTTGGAAGTATACCTTTTCATCATGGGTACTTCGTGTGAGTTCTACGACTGCCGACTACAAACGATTGTTCACAACACATAGGGCTTTTCCGGCTCGTGCTGGGTGGGGTCGGAATTGTTCGGAGATTCGCAGCGCAAAGGGTTCGTGCTCGGTTTTGAATGCAGTGTTTGGAAACATCTTCGAAACTGTTGCCCTCTCCGGTCCCTAGAACAACCAACAGAAACCACAACGACTTAAACATCACAATGACCCAAACACCCAAAACACCCAAGGCACCCCAGGCACCCCAAACACCAAAAGCACCCAAAACACCAAAAGCAAAGAAACACCCCCATCCCAATTGAAAAGAAGATGATCAGAAAATGTCTTCTAACAAGCTCGTGCTCAGGCCATACAAAGCCAAAAGAAGTCAAGACACCCTACACACCCCCTAAACCCCAATTACACCCAGAACCCTCAACCCTCAACCCTCAACCCTCAACCCTAACCCTAAACCCTAAACCCTAAACCCTAAACCCTGAACCCTGAACCCTAACTACACCCTACAATACACTGCACAGAGAGCCCTCCAGGGACGCTGCAACGGCATGTTTCACAATCTCCCCAGACCACGCATCGAAGTCGTACTTCGAGTAGCCCTCGAGAATGGTTGGCCTCAGGGGTTTAGGGTTTGGGGTTTAGGGTTTAGGGTTTAGGGTTTGGGGTTTCGGGTTTAGGGTTTAGGGTTTTGGGTTTAAAGGTTTGGGGTTTAGGGTTTAGGGCCTATGAGGCCTTTCAGAGCGGAGCCCAGGCCTTCTGAATTCTTGCGGTTTCGAAGTCTGGGCTTGGGGTTTGGGGTTTAGGGCTTAGGGTTTTTGAAGGGTTTAGGGTTTAGGGTTTAGGGTTTAGGGTTTAGGGTTTAGGGTTTGGGGTTTAGGGTTTAGGGTTTAGGGTTTAGGGTTTAGGGTTTAGGGTTTAGGGTTTGGGTTTAGGGTTTAAGGTTTAGGGTTTAGGGTTTAGGGTCCGGGGAAGAGTGTTTAGGGTTTACTTGGGGGCTTTGACAGGGCTACAGCGTACAACGAGCAGAGCTAGAAACCCCAACCCTTAAAACTTAAAACCTTAAAACCTTAACCCTCCCCCCGGCGGAAGTCCCCAAAAAAACGACAAGCTCTTTCAGACAAAAACCCGGAAGACCCTAACATCCTTCAACTTCTCAGGCTCTGATTTGCCAGTTTGCAGCTTCGGGGTTCAGGGCTTACGGGGTATACAGAGGTTTAGGGCTTGTGGGGCTTTGGGGTTGTCTAGGTTTGGGGTGCAAGGGAGAAGCCCCTGAAAGAGCTGTAGCTTGGAGGGCTTTTAGGGCTTTGGGGTTTAGGGTGGGTTTAGGACTGTTGCCTGATGGGATCTTGGCATTCATGCGGTTGCTCAGGCTGCCGCTCCACAGCCGCACCATAATCGTGCAACGGCGAGCCTCAGTGGACCGGGTGGAGTTGAGTTTTGAGGCTTCATAAGGGTTTGGGGTCCAAAACCAAGCTCCAAACTCTCATACCTCCTAAACCCGGCCTAATTCAGGATTGAGGGCTTTGGGCCATTATGGACTCAGGGCTCGCGGGGCTTGCGCTGCTGAGGCGGGTGGGTAAGGGCCCAAGGGCCTCTAGGGCTTAAAGTTTATGCGAACTGTCATGGGCTTAAGGGGATGTTTTGAAGGAACCCTAACCCCAGAACCTCAAACACCAAACCCTAAACCCCAAACCCCCGCAACCCTACTTGGAGGTTCATGGGTTGTTAGAACTAGGGTTAGAAGTACACTTATTAGGGTTATGAGTATAGGAAACATACTATTAACTACTATTAACCCTGCTTCTAACTACCCATAACCTCCAAGTAGACCCTGAACCCTAGACCCTAGACCCCAAACCCTAAACCCCTAAACCTGAACCCCAAACCCTGAAGCCTAAACCCTAATCTTCGAACCCGAGCACCGAGCTTTGAACCTCGAAACCACGCCAACCCATTTAGGGTTTTGGGTTTTAGGGTTTAGGGAAACACTGAACCTGCAGTCTCAAGGCAGCAGAGGTGCTGAACAGGCGCCAAGCCGGATTCAGGAAGACCTGGTCCAGCAAAATCTTGCTCGGTGGGTACTAGCCCCCATCAATGTGAGCCAGCCATGCTCCCCTTCTCTGGGCCTCCACGTGTAAACCAAATTCACACGCAGCATCCTAACCTGTAGCCCCGAGAAAAGCTCCTACAACCCCAACCCTGAACCCTAAACCCCCAAGAACCGTAAACCCCAGCCCACTCTGAACCCTGAAGCCACAAACCCTCAACCCCCCCCCCGCTAATCCCCAACCCCAAACCCTCAACCCCATAACCCTACCCCAGCCCTAAACCCCCAAATGCTAAACCACCTACGCCCTAAGCACTGAAACCCAAACCCCATTAGTAAGGAACATGCCTGGGATCACAATAAGGATCCTTGTATATACTGTTAAGATATCTGCCTTAATTAAGGGATATTGTCCTCTTTGGGAACCCTAAAACCCAAACCACACACCCCCACTTGGAGGTTCATGGGTAGTTACAAGTAGGAATATACCCATGGCAACTGTACTTATTACCCTACTTAGGGTCCTGTCCTTACAACCCTCCTGATACCTAAACCCTAAACCCTGAACCCTAAACTCTGAACCCTTTTTAGGGTTCTTAGAACCCTGCGTAGAATTACCCAAGAACCTCCAAGCAACCCCCCCTGCTCCGAACTCGAAACCTTGCTTCAACATAACCAAGGAATAAAAGCTCAATCTTTACTATTCCTAAATAAGGAAGCCCAAAAAGCAACCAAGGAATCAAAGTTCAATCTTTACTATTCCTACAGAAACCGCCTTCGCTGGGCCAAGGGGGTCCTTCGGCCAGATTTGGAGTCGCCACCTTCGAGGCTTCGTTGGTTAGGGCGTTGGGTTTTGGGGCGTTAGGGTTTAGGGTTTAGGGTTTAGGGTTTAGGGCTTAGGGTTTAGGGTTTTAGGGTTTTAGGGTTTAGGGTTTAGGGTTTAGGGTTTAGGGTTTAGGTTCACCGGGATTTGACGGTACAGGGATCCTTATTGTGTTATTAGGTATGTGCCGTATTGAAGGGGTTGGGGTTTGGGTTTGGGTTGAGGGCTTTGGGGTTTAGGGTTCAGGGTTAGCTCAAAAATCAAGGGTAGTTCCTGATCAAGAAAGGTCCACATCTGGAAAGCTAGTTTCAGGCTTAAACCCTCAACCGCAGACTTGTTGCAAGAGCCCAACACCTCTTTCCTGAGGAATAGACCTTAGGTCAGCATACTCCGCCCTAGGGCCGATAGTCACCCCCACCCTCTTCCCCGTAGACCCCTGGCACAGGGGAGTGGGCCTGCTCCAGAAATAATGTGTATAC